CAGGAATGTGCACACACGTTCACTAAATGGACACAGACCAGAATTCCATGGGCAGCACTATGCGTATCGGCCCCCATAACTCTCAAAGGCCGATCCACAGTGGAATGGACGGCATAGCGGTAAAACACAGCATTCTGTGAGGCTGACCCACACAGAAAGGTTTCAGATTCACCTCCCCGAGTATGCCAGGTGCACGGGCACCCGTGATGCAGGGTTGGTTGGGGTGGATCACGGTGCCGAGACCCTGAAGGCGGTGCTGTATTTGTCTCTCTTGCACATGGAAGAAATAAATAGTTTTTAAAAACTGGCTGGGGATTAGCAGTTGGTGTAATGGCTATGTCTCTGGACTCCCATGTAGTCGACCAAGGTTTGAGTCCCAGACCCAATGGCTTAAACTCACACTGGGCGCATGTGCGTGTGTGCCCAAGATCCCGAGAGGAGAATGGAGGAGAAGGAATTGCGGTGTGGCCATCCCCCCGGGGGGTGATTTCTCACTTTCTGTCTGTCTCTTTCTGTCTTTCTGGCGAGTACACATACCCTATAGCAAAAACCTCTCCAAAAAAAAGAAATGGCTGGATAAATAAAAAGAATGGACGATCTAAGCCTTACCAGAACAACACAGATGAAGCACACGAATAGGAGGTATTATTCCACAGAGTAAGAACGCAAGCAAACAGCCAGACAGGGCAAGAGTGCTGTGGCGGCATGAGTGGAAGCCACAGATCTGCCCCTCTTACACCCGGGTCTCAGATGTGGTGCTCTTTGTTGAAAACAATGAATACGGAATTATCTGTGATTCGATTGTCCTACATGTGTACTTTGAAAAATCCATGTTGTTCTCCACAAAGATGTTCAACAATTAAATGTAAACAAAGAATTATATAATACAATAAAATAGAAATAAATAAAAATATATGTCTAATAGAGCAGCAAAAAGGAAATCAAGCGAAACTGATCTCTGGTGGCAATCCTGGGGGCGGGTAGGGAGGTGGGAGTGGACAGACTGAGAGGCAGCACATGGCCAGCTTTCTGGGTGTTTTGTTTCTTGATCTGGGGGCTGGGAGCAGGGTGGACTGTTCACTGAATTACGCACCTGCAACAGGGCTGCTCTGTATGTATTTTATACTTCAACCAGAGAAGAGACACGGAAATAACCCAAATATTCATCAACAGATAAATAGATAAACAAACTGTGGCATGTCCATACAATGGAATATAAATCAGCAATGAAAAGGAATGGACTTGGGACCAGCAGGTGGCATCGTGGTTATGGCGCTGGACACTCCCGCATAGCTGACCACGGTTTGAGTCCCAGACCTGGTGACTTGCTTTCTCACTTTCTCTCTCTTTCTCTCTCTCTCTCTGTCTGTCTCTCTGTGGTCAAGTGAAAATAAACGAATGAATAAATAAAATTAAATAATTATATAAAAAAAAAGGAATGGACTATGGATGCATGCAGTCACACGGATGAAGTTCAAAATAATCCTGTTGAGTCAAAGAGACCAGACAAAAAATGTTTTAAAAAGAGCATACACTGTGTGATTCCATTTATCTAAAACTAGAAAATGTACACTAATGTCTCGTGACAGAAAGCAGATCAGTAGTGGCTTGGGGGTGGACTGCAGAGAGGGCAAAGAGGGAGAGGTCACAAAGAGACATGAAGAGACTTTGGGGGTGGGGGCACGCCCACTGCAGTGACAGTTTCATGGGTGTCTGCACATGTCAAATCGTATCAATTATACCTTTTAAATATATTTAGTTCACTGAATATCGATTACACCTCCACGAAGCACTTTTTGAAAAAGTCTGCATGTCAAATACAAACTCAAACTGAAAAAGCAACACAGACAGAAACATGGCGCCCCAAATGGCCATGAGTCCCTGTACAACCTGGCTCCCTGCTCTGACGTCTCCTCTTCTCCCTTCTCCTTCCACTACAGCCCTCCTCTAGCCAGCTGCAAGGTCTCTTTCCCAAGATGTTGTCTCGAATGTCACCGTCCCAGGAAGGCCCTTCCTGCCCACCCTCTCTAAACCAGAAGGCCACTCCCATCCCTATTCCGCTCACAATAGCCCTCCCTGCTCTCTCCCCTCTCCCTAGACATCCTGCATCTCTTCACCACTCACTGCCACCTTCCTGCTGGAGTGTGAGCTCCGAGCCCCACAGGGCAAGGCAGGGATTCAAATCTTTTGTCTCCTGCTGCATCTCCTCCGAATTGGGTGGAAGAATGAAAGAGGTGATGAAAGCTGCCAGAGGCCATTGTCAGCAGTCCCACAGCCCTGCTTTCTCTCTGCCTCCACACCCCTCCCACACAGAACACCTCGTCTAGGCCCTTGTCACCTCCCACCTCTGCTCCCTCAGCACCTCCAAACTAAGCTCCCCCTCTAACCTCACCACTGCCAATCCACTCCCCATAGCAGCTGGAAGGAGTGTTCCAAAATCCGAACAGGACCTCTCACCACTTGCCAGCTGGAGTCTAGCCTCCAAGGGGGGCTTCCAAGGCCGACCGCCCACAGCCTCAACACTGTTCCTTGCTTTTCTCCCCTCTGCGCCTTTGCTCGTGTGTCCCTCTACCAGACACAGCCTCTCGGGCTTGGCTACCTGGCAAACTCCTATTCATCCCTGACAGTACCAGCATGATATTTCCCTTGTCAGCACAGGGCTTTAAAATCCAAATCTTTTGATGGGGTCAGCAAGTGGCATGGTGGTTAAGGTGCTGGACTCCCACATGGTTAACCATGGATCAAGTCCTGGACCTGGTGGCTTGAAAATCACACCAGGCATAATGTGTGTGTGTGTGTGTGTGTGTGTGTGTGTGTGTGCATGTGTGCCCAAAATTCCAAGAGAAGAATGGAGGAGAAGGGATTACAACATAGCCAACCCCCCGGGGGATGATTTCTCACTTTCCCTCTCTCTTTCAAGCACACACATCCTATAGGAAAAACCTAAAATAAATAAATAATAAATAAATATATAATAAACATATGTGTGCATGTATTTATTTATTTATATTTCGAAAAAATACATATATCTTTGAAACCACATGGACCTGGGTTTAAACTTGAACTTGCTGGTTGTCATGGTTAAACGTGTCAACCTAACCTCACGGTGCCTCAGTTCTCTTGCCTATACACAGGGTGACACGTAAGGCGCCTGGGCCAGTGCCTAGCATACGTGAGCACTCTCTAAGTATTCCCCAGAACTAGGACCTCTGGTGGCCCCTAGCACATCCCCCACCATGGCAGCCATGGAGTCACTGCTGGCTCGCACAGACCTCCTCTCCCCATCAGGAGGTGAATTCCTTACGAGCAGAGCCTGTGGGGTACTGACCTCTGGGCAACCTCCAATCTCTAGCATACACTAGGCGCCCCATAAATACTGCTGACTACCTGAAGAATGACTACCCAGGACCCTCTGCACAGTCTCATGTGGAAGGAAACCTGCTGGCTGGCTCAGTGTCTCTTCTGCCCCATCACCCTCCCCCAGAACACCACTCTATTCTCCCAACACCTCCCAAGTCAGAAAGGGAGCCCCCCAGTCTTCTGCACACTCATTCTCTGGCCAGATACCCAAAGTACTCAGAGTGGGGCTTCCCTGCCCGGTCCCAGGAATGAGACCCTCTGCAGAGCAGCGTTACTACCTGGAACATACTCAGAACATACTATCTGGGATACACAGACACCCAGTCTGATGGGGAAAGGGGCAGTTCATCCTCCCATCCTTCCAGACCCAGCCCAGACAAAGACACCCTTCATCTTCCTGGCTGCTCCCCCGCTCCAGTGCCCCCAGCCATGCCCCTCAGCCCTCAGTGCTGGGCCCCTGAGCACCTGAGCCCCGCACACCACTGGCGCTCCGTGCGTTCCTGCTGCAGGAACAGCAATCGCAGAGGCACTCACTCGGCATCAGAGCCCGTGGTCCCTTGCTCAGTAATCATTTGTACGGTACCTGCTCTGCTCCTGATGCTACCTCAGCTGCTGGGGAGACCAACAGGTGACACCATGGACCCAGGCGGAGGTCAGGCTCCATGGAAGAGAAGACACTGTGCTCAGTGTTAAGGTATGTCAGAGGACAGAGTAGGGTGAAGCAAAGAGAACTTTCCAGAACAAAGACCTGGGCTGAAGCAGGAGGTAAAAAAAATAGTCAGAGTATGATCCTCGGTGTTTGGGAAAAGGACACAAGGTCAGAGTGCAGGTTCCCAGGATGAACAACCAGTTGGTATTGCACAGAGCAAAAGCCATGTCCCGAACTGGGTCCCCAGTCTTCATCTACCCAGGTGGGGAGCTCAGTACCGTGGGAATGGATGAATGGGCCTAGAGCAGGGGGTGGTGGCGACAGTGACCACAAGGACCAGGAAGAGCCTCATAGTAAAGTCTATGAGGCTCATAGATTCCCAGTCCACAAAGCTCCCTGAGCCCTGAAGTGCACTATCCCATGGTCTAGTAAACTGTTTACTGGAGGCCATTTGGCGTGGAGGCCGCTGGGCTCGGGAAGCACTAGTTCAGCAGAGACAGGCCAATCACACCTCACGGCTCGCCTCCCGGGAAGGGTGGGGTGGGGAGGAAGAGGCAGCAGGAGGCGCTGAGAGGACGGGCTAAAATAAGAAAGGGCGGCTGGCCCAGCCTGCTCAGCTGAGGTCTGCCCCATGGCCTTCTAGAATTTCTTGCTAGAATGCCTTGTCTGAAAGCTGGTATCTTGGCAGTTCTTCAGTCCTGCTTACACTTAGGAACATCCGGAGGCATTTAGAAAGTGGCTGGAAGACCCAGCCTTGGGACTGTGGTTTGCTGTCCCTGGACTAAGCCGATCACAGCTGCTTCATTCCCCCTTGCTGGGTAGCACGCAAATGCTTAGCTGGTGCAATAGGAGGGGATCCACTGGAATGTTGTACTCGCTCTTTATTTATTTATTTTTTTGGGGGAGAGGCTTTCACTATAGGGCACGTGCACTCGCCAGAAAGACAGAGACAGAGAGATAGAAAGTGAGAAATCACTCCCTGGGAGGATGGCCATGCCACAATCCCTTCTCCTCCATTCTCCTCTCGGGATCTTGGGCACGTACGCACATGCGCCCGGCATGAATTTAAGCCACCAGGTCCGGGACTCGAACCGCAGTCAAATACATGGGAGTTCAGCGACATAGCCATTATGCTAACTGCTGGTCCCTGTACTCGCTCTTGCAAAAGGACAGAACCATGAGGGAGAGACGGCTGCCTCATCTGCACTCTGTCTTGCTGGGATGTGATGATCGGGTCTGCCACAGCCATCTTGGGCCCGTGAGGAGAGTACCCCACCCTGAGGCTGGCAGAAGACAAAGACAGGAAGCCACCGGCCCTGCACTCCTCCACCTCCAGGCTTCTTATCATGGGCAATACATCTTCCTCGTTATTAAAGTTGTCTGAACCGGGGAAACCAACCCTCAGTCAAAACCACACCACGTGCAAGAACTAGGACAACCACTGTGTGAAGAGTTAAGTATCTTGTATAATGTGGGACCACTTGACAGTCAGCCAGGTGAGCAGAGAAAGGCTCTCAGTCATTCACCACAGGAGATGGGAAACAAGAGGCTTTCCAAGAGGAGACCTGCCATGAGCCTATTTTCTAGAAGGACAGCCCATTTCCCAGGGCGGCAGTTCCTTACCATTCTTCTGAGTCAAGGCCTGGTCAATGAAGTCTGCAGCCCTTTCAAAGTAGGCGCTAAGGTTGAACTCCTGCGTGTCGTTGGCCTTGATGCCCAGGTAGGTGATGCCGGAGTCCTTGTAGAAGCTGGCGTTGGTGTTGACGTGCATGAAGGATCTGCCCTCAGCCGCGTTCAGGACGTGGGTGATGCCCAGTTTCTGCAGCTTGGGGATGTCCTGAGCCACAGACCTGGACAGGAGACAGTGGCAAGGGGTGATTAACTGACCAACTGGCAGCCTCAGGGAGAGAAAGGAGGGGGAATAATCTAGGCCTCATGGCAGAGCAAGGAGCCCCTCTGTGCTCTCACACCTGCCAGCTTCTCCAGCGCATCTTATGCCCTCTCCCCTCACCCAGCCATATCTAACTGCCAGCAGCTTCCCCAAATAAACCAGCGATTTCACACCCAGGCTGTCCCCTCTGCGGGAATGCCCTTCCCCACCTTCTCTGCAGTATTTCCTCATCTCCCTCCCTTTCATTTGGCATTGGCTCCCTGTTCTGTGGTGGTGGGAGAGCCAAGGGGTTAAAAGTGGGCCCTGGAGTTGGACTGCCAGAGTTAGAATCCAGCAGCCGCTCCCCAGTCAGGCAACCTTGAGCAGTTACTGAACCGTTCTGCGCCTCAGTTTTGCTCTCTGTAAAATGGGGATAAGTGAGATGAGCTATCGCACTGATGGAGCCTAGTCTAACGACTGCCAGTGCTTGTGCATCTCGATGTCCAGGCCAGAGCTCCCTCAGGGAGGAACTAAGTCTGCTCCAGGTCAGTTTCCCCAGCACCTGCTGCGGCACCTGACACGTAGTACATGCAGAATACAGACGTAGTGAGTGAGGGAAGGATAAAATTAGTACCCATCAAGAGATCCCTCTCCCCAGCAGGATCCTTCTGCCCACACTCTGCTAGCCACGACCACATTCCACCAGCCACGTTTCGGAAGGCCTCTTGGCTGAGTTATCACTTGAGGAGCAAGTGGCCCCAACAGAACCATGGGAGTCACAAAATACTTGATCTGAATGGTCAAAGGCCCCTTTATCCCATCTCACAACAACATCCCAGTGGGAACAGCAGCGTATGTGTCTCCAGCACGGCCTCATTCACCCGTTACAGCAGCTCTGCGAGGAACGGGAAGGACGCACCATCCCCAAGCCAGTTTAAATTCCAGCCTGGCAGGACAGGTGGACAACACATGCAGGCTCACACGAGCTCCTCTGTCCTGATGTCCACCCCCGCTCTGCCTTCCACCTCACTCTACCTCTCGCCCACAGCAGCTGCAAAACCTAGAGACCTGGAGAAGGCGGTTTGCACAGGCTCCATCTGTGCCCTATGTGGGTGGGTCCTGATTATATTAAGGGGCTCCCAGTGGGTGGGGGAGTCCAAGTTCTCTTAGTACCAGAACACGGTTGATCTACCATGTTGTGTACCCCACCCCCCACAAATCTAGCAATTCAAAGTCAGATTTATTTTTAAAGAGATTTTCGCTACAGGGCATGTGCATTCGCCAGAAAGAGAGAGAGAGACAGAGAGACAGAAAGCGAGAAATCCCCCCCCGTTGGGGGGGATGGCCACGCCGCAATCCCTTCCCCTCCATTCTCTTGGGATCTTGGGCATGCACACACACGCACCAGGCATGAGTTCAAGCCACTGGGACTGCGTTCAACTACATGGAAGTCCAGCAACACAGCCAAGTGCTGATCCTAATATTCTTTTTTTTAAGAGGTTTTTGTCTTAGGGCATGTGCACTCACCAGAAAGACAGTAAGAGGGAAAGTGAGAAATTACCCGCCCCCCAGGAGGATGACCACCTTGCAATCCCCTCTCCTCCATTCTCAGGATCTTGAGCACATATCCACATGTCCCCAGAATGATTTTCAATCTACTGGGTCCAGGATTTGAACCACAATCAACCATGTTGGAGTCTAGTGACATAACCACTACGCCATCTGCTGTCAGATACTCTTACAGAACCAGAATATGTTTTCTGGCTATCACTGCTGTTGGGACCTTGGTTTCCACTCAGGGAGAACCTCAGCTAAACCTGCCAAACTGCCTGAGCAAGCAGGTTCCCAAGGCCTCCTGCTGCTTGGGTAGCTGGGGAGTGGGGAGGGTGACCCCAGAACTTTGCAACTACAGAGGCCTTTGGCTGAGACCAGGAACTCTGTTTTGGTTATTCCTGCTCAGGACGATGCACAAGATGTAAAGGACAGGCTGACAAAAAACACACAAGGTCACTCCCATGCAGCTTCCTTCTCTAACACTAATTCAATTGAAACACAACCAATTTACCATTATTACTGTTACTCCTAAAAAAGAACATCGTACAGTGCCTGACACAGAGGAGGTGCTCACTAGGGTGAACAAGATCTGTCTGGGTGAGACTGGGACCGGCCTTAGTGACCCTTCTACTCTATAATGACCCCCCTTCCGTGGCGACAGTCCCTGGCAGGCTAGGTTGCAGGTCCTAGTACAGGATGGGGGATACAGGCATGGATGCTGTCCTCAGAATCCCTCGAGCACTCTGGGCCACCGTTTTCTCCTGTTTTAGTTAGGGGGTTTCAACATGCCATCTTGGGCCGGCCCTTAGGACTCTGGTGCTGGGACCCTCAGAGTCTCCGGGAAATCCAGCTATATAGGCATGCTAATCCTAATCTTTCTTTTCGCTAGTATTTCAGCACCTGTCAGAATAGTTAACACCGGTTCCTTCACTCCTGCTGCTGAGAAATTATTAGGAGTTTGACTAATAGAAAATGGGAAAATCAATTCCGTCAGACGACCTGTACATGATACATATACATGCACTTCCGGGTGGGGGGGTCGGAGCCTTCTCCAGGTGATGGCTCAGGTCTGTCTTTGTGGGATTTATCATTGGATCATTCTAGAATCCCACGTAAATTAACCTGCTTGGGTAGCTGGGGAGTGGGGAGAGGCCAGAAACCTCAGCCCAGCATCTGGACGCCCTCGTTTGGGATATTTTAATTCTCTGATCCGAGCCAGTCGGACTGGGAAAGCTCCACGCCCGAATCGTGACGTCAGCCCGTTGCCATGGCTGCGAAGGCAGACATTCCGCGGTGACCTCACTGCAGAACCAGGCAGCTGTCACATGACAGCGCAGGCAAGGAACTGGCCGGACGACAGAGGGCCACCTGTTAAGTGAACATGGTAGCCCCGACCCCGCCCAAGGCCGAGTCTTACACGGGAGGCGGCCGAGCGGAGGCCCGGGTCTAGGTTCGGTGCATCGCGCGAGCTAGGACTGCGCCGGGCGGGGTTGGGGTCCGGCTTCTCCCCACCAGGCGCGGGCGTGGGCGTCAA